ATGACATCGTCCCTCGGCTCTTGGATATTGTGGCTGTTCGCCAATACTTGCCTGAGGCATACGTTGCTACCGTATACCGTACTTGCATCCAATTCTTTCTTTCTTCCGACACCCGTACGCACCCCAGAAGCATGCTTTTTCGTGCGCCCCGAAAGTACCTCGAACGGGCTGTTGCTTAGGCGCGATCTCGCTTTCGCTTTGTGAGCATGTGATATGCCAGGTGCGGCGTGACAGATAGACGAACGGGTTCGGTAAACTGCACACCGGATACTTACTTCTGCGTAGGGATTGCCGATCTGAGGCCTCAAAGTAAGGAGCGGACCTTGCGCGCAGTAAGCTTCGTGGCTTGTTGTTTGTCGGTGTCACCGTTCCGTCTTACGACAAACTGTCGGGTCTGTCGATTGACATCCACTTTGCGGGTACCAGTCTGTGCTGTGTTGCTGGAACCTGATGCCTGGAATCTCTCTGTTCCTTTAGCTGAGCACGTCCATCCCGACGCGATCGACCCTTCTTCCAGGCAGACATCTCAAAAGCATGTCTCCATGCCGATGCGATTATCCGTCGCACAGCACATCGACAGTGCTTTGGGTGTTCATCGGGCCAGACCAGCAAAGGCGTCGCTCCAAGTCATGAACCCAAAATCTTCCATCACCAGTGCGCTTTCGTTCGTGGACACCGGAAATACATCTCCAAGTCACTGATCCCCAATATCTCCGTACTGGCGAGCATCTCCGCATATTTTCTTCTCCTCCTAGGGCGATGCCAAACTTTGTCAGTCGCACAAAGAACATGCAATGGCGCTGCATGGTTGCACGATAGCCACCCAAGTCTGCCTCATCAGCCACTTGCGAGAAACCTTCCACAACATGATCAGATCGTTGCTCAATGCTAGCACGATATCCCCACAAGTGGTACAGCATTGCGCCGCTTCTCGACATGTGTTCGCCCAGTCCAATGCTTCGGAACGCCCCTTACTGTAACGGGCTCCCTTGGACAACGCAAGTAACACAACGATGGTCCCCATCTAGCCACCTGCAGACATCCCCATCTACGAGCGTATCACTGCGTTTGAGTTTGCTGCATCCGCCATACGAACAATTGGACATGCCTCTGCTCCCGTGTTTCCGCCCAAGACACAAGCGGCTTCCCGTACACGTACGACCGGCCCGAGAAAAGGTGTTCACAGTCACACATTCCTCACGGCAAGCTACAACAGCACACTCACACCCGGCCGTGTACACAAGAAGGACAGGCGTAAAACTGACAGCGGGTAGGCGTTCCGAAGCGCGCATATGCAACTAGGCGGTCTCCGACAGTCGCCCAGAGCGTTTCGCTGCTCAGCCTCTCCGTGCGCTGTACCAGTTCCAACGGCGTGACAGCTGAGCCTCTGTCTATGCTTTTCCCATTCTGGCGTTGTACTAACAAAGGCGAACGTTCACGATCGACCATGGTTGCCTTTTGCACACCCCCAATTAGCAAGGTTTGCCTTTAGTGTGCCATATCGCCGGCATCCCACGCGAAACTGCATGATCAGCCCATGAGCACAGGTCATTGGGCATACGAGAAGAGCGTCCGGGACAGCCCACTGGCTGGTAGGTGCCCAGAGCTTTAGACGACGACTTGTCTTCTTTTCCTTCCACGGTTCTCTTCACGCGTCATACGCTACGACATTTTTCCTCTCTCCAAACCTTGCTGCGAACATGCATGAACCAGGTAGCGCGATATCCAGACTTCGGAACGCTATTATCGTCGACTTCGCCTCCTAGGCAGAACGCATATAGAACGCACGTAGGCGATGCCCGACGCTGGGATGCCCGCATGGCATAGCATAGGGAGCTAGCGACCGGACCCGCGAGCTCGTACGAAGGAAAACGAGGATGCAGCGAGGAAACATGGATCTACGGTATGCTAGCGATGCGGACTCATGGCTGTGGAAGCTCGCAGGCATCTATCCGAGTATATTCTACGGTCGGCTTCCTGCGTCTGTAGCGGAGGACGGAGAGGAAGAAGAAAGGTTTGGGCGGAGATCGGGTCTTGGGCAGCAAGAGCTCGAAGGTTTGTTAGCGAAGTAGGACTCTTATCATCTTGCTGTACGGGCCAGGACCCGGGAGAACGAGCTCAGCCTCGTCATCGCATCGTGAGTCCGAACACAGCGAAAAGATCTACTCCGACATTCCGTCATCGTGCCCACACCCACGCCTCCCAGCATGGCCACCCTCCGCAAAAGCAACCCAAACGCCTAAAGCCCAAAGCCCAAGCTCTTCGAAGCTCAGTTCCCTTCCTACATCGGTACCTTGCACCTGATACCCATGCGTTCTCTTCGCCCCACAAGCACCAGGCACCCACCGGCCATGCAGCTCATGGTGTAAGTACTCGGCTCAAACCTGGCTTTTGCTGTCGAGTCTTTGGTCACACGACGCGAAGGATGTGATGGGGGTTGCTTGCAGTGCCTGCAGTGCTTGCGTCGGAGAATTTATGTTGTGCTAGGGAGCTTGAGAGGTGAGGGTTGGTGTTGTGCGACATCAGACTCTGGGGTGCTGTAGAGTGCCTTCAGTGGTGAACCAGTAGTCGAGGTCTCGGAGATTTGTTTCAACTCATAGCGATCAGTTTTCCTTCCTTAAAATCCATCAGGTTCAGAAGATGCATGTTTGTACGCATACAATATGGGCTGCGGAAGTTTGATGTGGTTTGACTGCTTTTACGCCGTTCCAACTTTACTGCAAAAGCAGTGTTCTTAGTGGTGGTGGACAATGTTGGCATCATCTAAGCTTCAGGCGATGGTTCGAACGCACTCTTTTCCTACGCACTCTTCTGTTTTGTTGGTGTTAAAGGCCTTCTCCAGCATGCGACAACAGCCCTCGAGCTGGAGAAGTCGCCAAGGGGAACTAGTCCCAAGTTGGCGTAGCGCTGACACTCGGAGAACACCAGCTTTCTTGTGCAAGCTCTACCTTCGAGGCGACTTCCGCATTGTGTGAGCTAACGAACTGTGAGCCTTCCAAGCAGCCGTACGCATAGAACATGATTGCGTTTCCATGAAGCATTGGGATGGCTCTACACAACCAGCACCAGACCGCAGTCTTATTCAATGGCGCACTCTCTTCACAGCCCTGGATGCATAGACTTGTGGCGTAATGGCTGCGAGCTTAAACATCAGCCGCACACGACGCCCAATCCAGCTTACATTTTCTAGCCTGTCACATAGATAAGTCAGCCGCAATGTGCTTCAGCTTTCCAGCAATTGCTCCGCCTCTTTTCTTCATTCCGCCTCGATGCAGCCTGACCCTGTAGCTGCCTTTATATTTCCTGCAAGATAACAGCGTCGATGTAGACGTTGTAGATCAGTCTATTTCAACAAGTCATCAACCCCTCAGAGCAAACTTATCGTAGCGATGGATATACCGCCTCGAAACGTGCGGTTCACGCACACTCCGCTCAATTTTGAAAGCCGCGAGATACGCCTCCTCACGATCGAACCGAGCTCCGAACCGTCGAGTCCTATTCAAATCACCATAAAGCACGCAGACCTTAGTAGGCATGTTGATACTCTCACTGAATACCGTGAGGAAGTAATTAGACTGGAAGCTTGGGAGTGGGTCAGCAGAGAGCGGAGAGAGGCTGTATGGGACGAGATTTTCAGGGGGCAGTTTGTATGGGACGAGATGTTCCAGCCAACGTTCAGTTACACCGCATTGTCATACACTTGGGGTCCTGAGCTGCCAGCGCAAGACATACTTGTCACAAGCCCCGAATGTCATGGCTGGCTTTCTGTTCGACAGAACCTCTACGACTTCCTAAAAATGAGACGCAACGGTAGCTCGGCCTGGTTCTGGATAGACCAAATTTGCATCAATCAAGGTCAAGACGACGAAAAGGCCCACCAGGTCAACCAAATGGCAGATATATATAGCGCGGCTACTGTCGAAATCTGGCTTGGTTCTGGATTTGAGGGAAGCGACGACTTTATGGATTCGATTGCCCTCGAAAGTATTCGCCTGAGCCAAACCTACGACGTCCCCATAGAGAAGCGGGTTGTACTTAAGCTTGCCCCAGCTTTGCACCGCTTCGTAAGTCTGCCATATTGGTCAAGACTTTGGGTCATTCAGGAGGTGATACTCAGTAGAGCAGTTGATATACGTATCGGCTCGAAGACTGTTTCATGGAATACATTCTTCTCGGTTCTACGAAGTTTAAGGCAAGCATGTCAGATTTTAGGCATCACAGAAACCTTCCAAGATCTGGGACTCGACGATGGAGATGGAGGAACGCGGATATGGAAGATCGAATTAAGCCGAAGTGTCATGACCCATCGTTGGGACTCTGTTGGGAGATTGGTGTTCGGGGCCGAGTGCTCAGACTTGCGAGATCGAGTATTCGGTGCCATGGGTATGGTCCGCCCGTCGCTTCGAGTATTCCCCGATTACTCGATGAACTCGCAAGACATATTGCTCATGCTTCTGGACAAACACGTTGGAGCTGCGTATGATGCCATTCACGAGGAGAAACCTGAGGGCCCTACTATTAGAAATTTCAGACGTGACTGCATCGATCTAGCGGCGAGTTGGCTGCCCCAACTCGAAGACGACAAGAACAGGATCAGTTCAAAATCTGTCCGCAGTCATATACTCAGCATACTACCATTGGGCCCGCCCATACTTGATTATAGGTTCGGACGAAAGTGGCAGTTCAAGGCCTATCTGTGGTACAAGATTCCCAACAGGAGGAGCATGCGGTGGCGGCTTTCAAGAGCGGGCATCGTGCGGTTTGCACATATGTTAGACCGCATTAAGCCTAAACCGAAGTACGGCCTTGCTGGCCATGACTGGCAGTTTGCAAGCTCATATACCATTTGCGATTAGTTGTCAGCGTCAAGTCCATAGAGGCATCCGCTGATGATTCTATGACGCAGTCGCTTAGTGTTTCGTACACGATATTGAAGGACAACGTTTGGGTAGCGAAAGCATATAGAACAATGCCTTGTCATTGATCGACTTTAAGGGACCCTAGACATCAATATTCCTCTTAATCCCCAACATCCTCGCAAAATCCTTCTTGACCTTCTTCGCCGGCCTAGACGCCGACAACTCCACATTCTGCGATTCTCCCGACGTTCCAGAGTCCGGTGAACACCTCTTCGCCCCCCTAAAAACAGCCCTCGCAATCTCCGCATCTTCCGCATCCTCAACTTCCCTCGATGACGCAGGGATAGTCGCGGCACATTTCGCATCCATCCCTTCTCTCCGTGCATTCGCCGCTCTAATCTCATCCAACGCACCAGCAACAGCAACCTCAACCCTCGCATCCTCAGTCTTGCGTTCCAGCGTCTCCATAGTCGCTTTCTCGTCGCCTCCTTCAAGTCCCTGAGCTTCGAGACGATTTAAGCGCTGCTCTTCAGTATCTCTGGCGCGCTCATTATCTCTCCAAGCCTCAAACCCCCTAACCGCCCCACTCACAATCCTATAATCCATATTCTTAGGATCAGTCTCGATAACGATTCCCGCACTGCAGCCAGGGCATTTACAATGCAGCGTTACGATCTTTACGCCGAGGTATGTTTCTGGTGCGATGTGTTTTGGGCTGTTGCGGAAGACTTTGCCGCGAGTGGTGTAGTGGCCGCAGGAGAGGCAGCGCATGCTGCGGAAGGGGCAGGCGAAGTTTACGACGGTGCGCGTGGGAGTTGAGGATTTCTTTGAGCGCACTAGCTTTGCTGGGTCAAAGTCGGCAGGATAGTACTTCTGGATAGTCTTGCGTTCGGCCATTTTGGTGGTGTGGAGAGGAGGATGTGGGGTTGTGTGAAGATGGAGCTGGGAGGTTTTCGCGATGTGTATTGTTGTAAGAGGGACAAATGACTTTGAAGACAAAAGGAGAAATTGGATTCTCTTTTATACGGTTAGAGAGAGCAGTACCGTAGAGTGTCGTTTGGTCGAGCCATTCTTTTCGAACCAATGACAGCACTCAAGTTACATCAACTCCACCATAATAGACCATACATCATATGACTCTGGAGTGTCTAGAAACGAAGCATACATGGTCGAGGAAGCTGCGACATTCCTTCGCGAATAATGTCACCCATATATCAACGTCACTCAAGCATCATCATCGTCACCTCTCAACATCACCCACAAACATCAAAATGAAAGCCCAATTTCCACGAAACAAAAAACGCTCCAATATATATAATCATGCTACATGAGCCAGAAACAAGGGTATGCGCCATATCTCAATGTTTTCCTCCTCCTCAAGAATGAACGCTACATATGCAGTCCAGCCCAACCATCAAACATACTTCTTTCGCTCTCTCTCAACAGCCCAGAGTTTCCCAGACAAAAACATTAGTATATGAACAAAAGGTTCCAGGTGTGTACACATCATGAGGGTGATGGTGTAAGAATAGTGTTGGTGTTGGTAGAGAGGTGGGAAGGCAAGGAACCCAGTGTTTTAAGCCATGCCCTCAATACCCTGCGAGAGGCGGTCTTGCATAGCCTTGACGAGGACAGGCGGAACCGACTCATCAGTCGCACGAATCGTGATCCGGTACATCTATCATTTGTTAGCTTTCTCTTCTCCCATTCCAACACACACCAACATACCTGTGTCTCAAAGTTCGGCTCCAGCCTCAACAAGCACCCAAACTTGCCCTCACTCGAATGCAACACCGTCGCACCCACGATGTTCTTGCCATTAGGATCCACACCCGTCACAATACCCCACTTGAAGCCCTTGACCACCTTTTGCACGAAATCAGAGTCCATAGTCCGGTTCTTGTTGATCAGGCCGAATATACTTTGGTGTTCGCGCGGTGCACCACCAATTTGCTTCCAACGCTTGAAGAAGTCTTCTGCGCTGAGTTCGGCGCCTTCCATGTACTTGTGTAGGAGGACGGGGAGTTGGAGGGTTAGACCCTGTAAAGCTCCGGCGAGGTAGGATATACGAATGGTGGGAGGATCGATGAAGACGTTCTTGCATTCGAACATGATGGTCTGTTGTGTTTGGCCTTCGGGTGCGATAGAGGTGTCGGGTAGGCCCTTGATGTCCGTCTTCAATGTTTCCGAAGACCGGTTGTCGAGTGTCGTGGTGAAAGATCCCATGGAGAACTGTGACTTGTTCGTGAAGTAGAAGATGAGAGCGCCCAACTGCCCGCGGTACTCTGTTCGCAGACCGATCTGTATTTGCTGGTCTTCGTAGAGCACGCCTTCCGACCGTAATAGGAGACGAGTGTAGCCAACCTCCCAATCGGGACTGAGATGCGCTGCGCTTGCGAGATTTGGTGCTTTGGAAGCCTTGCTCAGATCCATGTTGAGATCTAGACCCTCCAAATCACTTGATATCGCTGCGACACCGTTGGCGCCATTTGCTGCGCCGGTCTTGGCGTCCTTTGGTACAGGTTCGGTGAAGCTTCTCTTAACACCCGCAGACGTATTCTGCCTTGCAAGACCAAATTCTTTGAGGTCCGCATTTGCATCCTTGCCACCAACCACCCACGTTCGCTTGTCGCTAGTAGTGGCGTGCTTCTGGTGTAACCGCGAGAGCAGCGCTGACGTCCGTTCTGGGTAAGGAGGCATCTCGTCGCATACGGTACGCAGTAGGTCGTCCGTCGGCATGGTGGCGAGTGTGAGGTATTCGCATGCTCTTTGCTGGAGTTCGGAGTCGAGCGAGTGGCTGTAGGCGCGGAAAGCCTGAAGAAGCTGAGGCTTGATCTCGGGGAACAAGTTCACGTACTTGACGTAACACGACAAGAGTATCGCCCGTGTCGTTGACGAGCAACCTCGCATCTTTGCGCTCAACGCCATGAACTGCTCGATCGGGCTACATCCTTTGCTATCCGCAATCAAATGGCCGAATTCTCCGAGCAGGTATCCACCAATCTTTACAAGCGTCTCGTGACAGTCCGATTTGATGTACTGCAGAATCGTTTGCGCAGCGTACACTTGCAGCTCCTCGTTGTTCGTCGTGATCTGGATGACTCGCTGCCAGACTTCATCGCTAACGTGGTCTCCAGCCATGGCGATCAGTCGTAGTGATATGTCCACGTACCACTGAACATCAGTGGCGTACTTCTCGGTAAGAATCGCAATCTTGAGTACCATCTCTTCCCGTATCGCGTAGTCGGCAGATTGTAGGTATCGGAGGAGTTCGTTCACGATCGCTTGCGCATTCGTCGGATCACACATGCTGTATAGTAGGTCCAGACCCTGTCTTCGTACACTGATATCCCTGTCTCTTAACGATCCGATGATAATTGCCTGGTGCTTCTTGATGGGATCAAGGTTCTCAGATCGAGCAGCCAGATGCGTCATGGCCTCCAGTCCTAGATACCGCACGTTGGTTTCCCGAGACGCGATGAATTTGCCTAGCCGTTGTGATATTTGAACCATCAGGTCTTGCTCTGTGTCGAGGTGTATTACGAGGTTGATCGCTTCGAAGAGGACGGCGTTTTGTGCGTTGTTCTGCTGTACGTTCTTGGGCATTTCGAGGGCTGAGTCCATAATCTTTTGGAGCGCTTCGCGAATCAGCTTTCGGATATGTGAGTCCTCTGTTTCTGTTAGTGCGAGTTGATAATAGCTGGAGAAGACACAAACCGGGAGGTGGGTAGTACTGCAGCAACTTGAGCAGCTTGACCAGTATCCACGGACATGGCACCTTGTAGTAGAAGTAGCCTTCGGCACACTCGTTGTCCACTACTATCCGCTTCAGCCTATTCGCTGCCTTGATGTAGCTTCCCTTGTATTGCTCGGTGTTGTCCTGAACGAGTGCCGTGACCAGCGAGGTTACGGAAAGCGCCACGCCCATATCGGGGTCGTCCATAAGCGATATTATTCGTTCCGCCCATTCGTGCTGTACGATCGCGGGATGTTTTCGGTATAATCGCAGGAGTGTAAGGGCGGCCTTCTTCTTCACGAATGCCTTGGAGGCCCTATTCGACGTCAGCTTGGCCACGAAACCCATCTCATGCCACTCACGGTGATATCAGAAGCCTGTGAACCTCGGCGCTTAGTGCCTCTCCCAGCTCCTTTCCACCAACGTTCGCAATCGCATGCAGCGCCAGGCAGTTGTTGAGCTCATTGTGGTCCAACAGGTCCTTCCTGATGCTGTTAACGACCAGGTGTAGCAGTTCGTGCTCCTCGTGTAGGAATAGGGTAACGGCGAGGTATCCGATCTGCTTTTCCGAGTACTTGGTCGCGGAGATGAGGTTGACCGCTTCGAGATGTCCGAAATCGACGTTCCATCCGAGAATGTATATGTAGAGGAGCTGCGGGAGTCAGCAATAGGGTGGGAGAGTCGGTGAGTGGCGTGTGTACCTTGCAGACGTATTTCTTCTTCTGGTAGCCATTCAGGCCGGCATCTGGGGGGAGTTCTGTCAGAACAGGTCAGGTGGGAGATGTATCCAAGGAGAAGTACCTCTGAACTTTTGCCTGCAGTACTGTTAGCCTTCCGGACATGCTTAAACTCGGCAGCGTGTACCCACCGTATGTTGGCCAATTCCTTGTTGATGCGCTTCTCTTCGAGCTCTCTCGCGCGAGCATTCCTCAGATCAGCGATGAATGAAACCAGTCCTGTCCGCGTGTGAGCTTCGGTCCGTTGTTCGTGGGCATGCCGTCATGTACCTCGCATCGTGGGCACGTTGCCCGACTGCTCCCGGCTGAAGAGGCCTCCACCAGCCCTCGCTGCCATCTTGGAAGTGACCGAGGCCGCCATGCTGGTGGTAGTAGACGACGTGGTGGGTGGGCGGTTCCCACCTGGTAAGTAGCCCGACAATGCGGCGGCGGTAGTGGTGGTGCGCTATGGAATGGTGCGGTACGGGCCTCGAGGCAGGGTTTATGCCGGCGTGCGCGCTGCGGAGCGGAGGTCGATAGTTCGCGAAAGGGGCGCCTGTCAGCGCTTTCTAGACGCTGGCTGCAGGCTTATGGCGCAATCGAGAGCAGGACATGGAATTGGAACGAGCAAGGAAGACGCACAACACCCCGGCAAGCTATCTAGTTGTTTCTCTGCATGCACGACTGACGGGGGGAATAAGTGGATGTTCTACACATGGATGCCAAGCAAACAGGGTCTAGCGTGTAGCTCCTGCCCGTGCGAGTCAAAGTAGGACGAGCACATCGCGATCTTGACCCTTACGGCAAGTGCAGGTCCATGCATTCAATTTTGGACAGTATTGAACAGGGCACCTTTCAGCAAAGCCGCGATAGCCTTGAAGTTTACTGTATACACGCCTCCGACCGTGCCGCCGCTCTCCCCCGAGCTCCGCAAGCTATCGATGAGATGCCACCCGCAACACGATGAGGAACATTGAGACCGCGAAGGCAGCGGCGACGTCCACTGTACAACACATGTTTCCCATGAACGCGAAAGTCTCCAGCGTGTGCCCGAAGACATTGTGCGATGGATAGAGTGGACAAGGACAAGTGTAGAGAGGAACACGCGCATCCAAAGCAAGACGCGTCAACGCGCCGATCACAAGCACAAGACACAACAGGATAGACAAGTCCGAACTTTCAAATCATCATTCACTGATATCAGGTATACCCTCGGTCCTTCGACCGTCCCATGTAAACGCCAAAAACACCCTCTCATGCTACACACCACCGCGCACCCCCATACGCCTCAAACCCTCATATCATATCCATCTCTCTACTTGCTAGTAGTGAAGTCCGTCTCCAAGCTGCTCGATCCGTTGTTCTCAGCGCGACCGCAGTTGCACGCATCCTCTGTCCGCTTTCCGCATGCGCATGCTGAAGAATCGGTGGGGAGCTTGTTCTCG